CTAGGGGAGAGTTTGATGGCAGTAGGCAAGCTTATTCCATTGGAGAGGAGCCGCCCGCGAGAGGTGCGAGCAGCGGTCAGGAGGTGGTCACGGGCAGAGCGGAGGGTACGAGGAGGGGCATATCTATGGATTAGTGAAGAGATATGGGGCTAGAATTGTTCAGTGCTTTAAATGTATGGGTTAGCACTTTGAATTGACTCCTATAGCATACAGGGAGCCAATGTAAGGACTGGCAGAGGGGTGAGGTGTGAGAGGACCGACTAGAGAGGAAAATCAGTATAGCTGCAGCATTCATTACAGACTGTAGCGGGGCAATACGGCTTTTGCTGAGACCAATCAGGAGAGGGTTACAGTAATCCATGCGGGAAATTACTAGAGCATGGACAAGCTCCTTGGTAGCATCTTGCATAAGAAAGGGGCAAATGCGGGCTATGTTTTTGAGTTGGAACCTACAGGACTTGATAACAAACTGGATGTGAGACTCAAAGGTGAGCCCAGAGTCAAGTATGACGCCAAGACAGCACGCTTGCAGGGATGGACTTATGTGGATATCACTGACTTGAAGGGAGAGCGAAAGAGGAGGCTCAGTATTAGGAGGAGGAAAGACAAGGAGTTCAGTTTTAGAGAGGTTAAGTGTCAGAAAGGGTGAGGACATCCAGTCAGAGATGGAAGAAAGGCAAGCAGTGACACGTTGCAGGACGGCAGGGGAGAGGTCCGGGGAGGAGAGGTATATCTGAGTGTCATCAGCGTACAGGTGGTAGTGGAATCCAAAAGAGGCAATAAGTTTACCAAGAGAGGCAGTATAAAGAGAAAATAGAAGGGGACCAAGGACAGACCCTTGGGGAACTCCAACCGAGACAGGACGAGGGGAGGAGGTATCCTTGGAAAAGGAGACACTGAATGAGCGTTGGGAGAGATAGGAGGAAAACCAAGAGAGGACAGAGTCACAGAGACCGAGCGATTGAAGAGTTTGAAGGAGGAGAGCATGATCAACGGTGTCAAAGGCAGCAGAGAGGTCAAGGAGAATTAATATGGAGTAGTGACCTTTGGATTTAGCGGAGATTAGGTCATTAGTCACTTTGATAAGAGCAGTCTCAGTAGAGTGGAGAGGGCGGAAGCCAAACTGAAGAGGGTCAAGGAGAGAGTTGGAATTAAGGAAGCAGGACACATGGGTAAAGACAAGTCTTTCCAAAAGCTTTGATGAGAAAGGGAGCAGGGATATGGGACGATAGTTAGAAGGGGAGGATGGGTCAAGAGATGGTTTTTTTCAGGATAGGTATTACAGTGGCATGTTTAAGGTCAGCAGGAACAGTGCCAGAAGAGAGAGAGCAGTTAAAGATGTGTGTTAGGGTAGGCACAAGACAAGGGGAGAGAGATCTGATGAGGTGAGATGGGACAGGATCGAGCGGGCAAGTGGTGGGGCGAGAGGAATGGAGAAGCGCAGCCACCTCTTGTTCAGTAGCCTGGTAGAAAGTCTTGAGGGTAGGGAAAGCAAGATTGAGAAAGAGAATGGCACGGAGGGGAGAATTGTTTCCTTAGCTGTTCAATCTTGTCGGTAAAGTAGCATGCAAAGCTATCAGCTGTAAGGTTAGTTTGGGGGGTGGCCACAGCAGGGCGGAGAAGGGAATTAAAGGTGTCAAAGAGACATCTGGGATTGCCGGAGCATGAACTAATGAGAGAGGAAAAGTATGACTGTTTGGCGAGAGCGAGTGCTGCGCTGTATGAAAGCAACATGAATCTATAATGGAGAAAGTCTGCCTGGGTGCGGGACTTCCTCCAGGAGCGTTCAGCACAACGGGTGCAACTCTGCAGATAGTGTGTTGATTTATTATGCCAAGGTTGGGGTCGTGTCCTCCTCGAGGTGCATGTTTGGAGCGGGGCTGCAGCGTTCAAGGCAGATGTGAGGGTAGTGTTATATGTGGAGATGGCCAGTGAGGGACAGAAGAGGGAAGGGATGAATAGCAGTTGTGAATCAATGTCAGCCGACAGCTGCTGGAGGTCAATAGAGTTAAGGTTTCTCCTGAGCTGAGGGGGGTTAGGCTGAGATTGTTGGGTGAGGGGGTAATTGAGAGCAAATGATAAGAGGTGGTGATCAGAGAGGAAATGGAGCATTGCAGATATTAGATATTGTACATGAATAAGAGAAAATAAGGTCAAGGGTATTTCCAGCTACATGAGTGGGAGAATTGGCCCACTGCAAAAGTCCAAGGGAGGAAGTGATTGAAAGTAGTTTAGAGGCTGCTGGGGTTAAAGGTGGGTTAAGGGGAATATTGAAGTCTCCAAAAATTAGGGATGGGATGTTGGAAGAGAGGAAGTAGGGTAGCCAGGCAGCAAAGTGGTCAAGGAAGAGGAGAGGGGAACCAGGGGGACGATATATTACGGCAATGTTAGCAGAGAAGGGTTTGAAAAGGCGAATTGAATGAATTTCAAATGATGGGAAAGAGAGGGAAGGGGGGGGGTGGACAGGGTTTTAAAGGAGCAGTGCGGTGAGAGAAGAAAACCTACACCGCCACCATTAATCTCCGCTGGTCTTGGATTGTGGGTAAAGTGAAGACCACCAAAGGACAGTGAGGCAGGTGTAGCAGTATCAGAGGGAGAGAGCCATGTTTCTGTTAGTGCAAGTAGGTTTAGGGAGTGTGAGATAAATAGGTCATGGATGGAAGGATGCTGCACACAGAGCGTGCATTCCAGAGGGCAGCTTTAAAAGAGGAATTATAGTGAGAATTACATGGAATGGGTATTATGTTGTTGTGGTTTCTGGTGTTTGTACCAGGTGGCTGAGTAGTGGAGGGACCAGGGTTTGGAGAGACATCACCTGCTGCTAGGAGTAGTAGGATGGAAAGGAAGAGAAGGTGGGAGTAAGATTTAAATGTTGGGGATGAGAGCTTGTATTTAGGAGGGGTGTGTTGAGAGAGGCTGGATAAATATGAATAAAGTGCGTGTGATGAATACAGAGATGAGGGGAGCAGAGATGGAGCAATGAATATGGTGTTAGCAGGAACAGGTAAGTAAAATGATAGAGAGATTTTAATGATGAGGGAAGTGAGAGAGAAAGTGAAAAATAGAAGTGAGAACATTAGTAGGAGAGTGTTGTATTTTTAAGAGCTGTGGTTAGGAGGGTTAAGGGTTAAAGAGGTATTGTGTGAGTATAGCTATTTTGGGTGTGGAGGGCTTGGTGGACAGAGGCTAACATAATTGGTTTAACGGGAAAGGTAGGTAATTTGAGCTATCTATAAATGTAGTGATTACCATGGGGAGGGTGGGAAGCGATCATCCAGTAAATGCTACCTCTGCTTATGGCAAATACTTAAGTTGGAAAAATACCAGCTGCAGTATAACCCCTTAAAGACACATGACATGTGTGACATGTCATGATTCCCTTTTATTCCAGAAGTTTGGTCCTTAAGGGGATAAGGAGCTATTCTAAAGTGAGAATAATGATTGAGAAAAGTTGTGGCATCACTCCCTAATGAGCACAAATGTGTAAATCTTCTGAGCCTCAATACTAGGATCCATTACAACACAATCATTGAATGCAAATGTTAAACTATATTGGTAATTTTCCCTTGATATATATATTTGGTTTTATTATGGAGTTCGAAAAGATTATGTGAAAAAAGTTGAGGCCTGAACAGTCTAAGTTACTGTAATAACTAAAGCCAATGTGAAGGCTCACCTTTGTGTGAGTGGTCCTTTGATTGTGCATTAGTGTTTTAGATTTAATTGAACACTATATTGAGATATTGCAAACCTTAAGGAAGAACCCATCAAATGCTATAGAATAGATAGGTAGGTCAAATAGCTCTGCTGAGATTAGTGGATTACATTAATGGTGACAGGTGATAGATAGATTAAGTGGTCTACATCCGTCTTATATGATGTTTTTGAGTTGTGGTATGGGAGATTACACACAAGGCGTGGTAGCAGTTAAGGAGCAGTACTTGGTCACCCACATAGCGGAAATTAAGGTTAGGTCTATATTTAATGAACACAGGTGCATAAACATGTGTACTCTGTTTTGTTTTGTTTTTATTTTTTAAATGTTTTACTGACTAGTGAATAAATCCTTAAGTATAATGTTCTATTTAAAAAGCATCTATATTTATATACTATTAAATTAGCACATGGTTATTTTATTATATGTATTACTGAACAAACACATTTAAAAATGTAATGACATTTAGACTTGTTTGTATTGATTCATGCACAGTAAAAAGAAACACTTGATAATATTATGTAATATTAAATGTGTGACTTAAATATAAAAACATACATGCACCATGTATAAGGCAGTCATATTTAAAAATAAAAATATATTCACAATATTTCTGAATAAAGATTATGATAAGACCTGTAGAGGATAGCACTAATTTAAGAGGTGTTTTTTTTTTTTTTTTTTTTTGCAAATAACCCAAAGTATTAAAAAGCTCTGGTTTTTCAGAAGAAAGTATTTGATATCCTCTGATAGGATGCAGAATCTAGCATTTGATCCAATAATAATAAGATCTCGGGTTAAATCTCCTCATTGTAATATCTGTACATATTTATAACATGGATCTTTTTTATATCTCAACTAGATAATTGGTTGATTATTACTTTACAATATTTGCCTTAAATGATAAATGCAGATACAGTTGATTATAAATTCTTCACAGATGAAATAGAATGCTACTCATATTTGTGTGTAATATACCAATATAGGAAATAGGAAAATATAATATGTGTTCCATGATAACAAATTCTGAAACATTGTCTTAATCTAATTCACAGATAGAGACATGTATAATTATATATTGAATTGCTTACATACACAAGATAAGAAAAATATTTATAGAGTGAACAATTCACCAGTGTATTTGAAATATGCATAAAAAGTAGTAAATTGATTAATAAACTGATATATAAATTTTTTTATTTTATTTTTTGGCAAAAAGAGCTGATGAAGAAAAGTTATCCAAACAAACAATAGTCAAACTATTTATAAAAAATATATCCCACTTAAAAAATATTTACATAAAAAAAGCATATCCATTGCCTCAACATATTAGCAAAACGACACAGTTGTATAATAAAATAATACACACATTTGAAAACAGAGCATGTATATCAGTTAATGAGAGAGATCATTGAATAATGGTGAGACTGGTTCAAGCTGCCAGAAAAGAGACCGTAACTGAAATATTTAAAATGTTATCATTCAGAAAACAATATCTTAATGCACAACTTAGTGGATGGACTACAGCAGGTTTGAGACACATGGGATAGGAGCTTGCAGATAAGGGGAAGCATCGAGAGCTCCAATAGGAATGCTGAAAGGCATATTGAATTTAGAGAGTTGGCTTTACTAGTATTCCTTTCAGAGTGAGAGAGTACCCATTTTTGTGTCCAGTATTTCTGATGGTATATTTGTTTTATTTTCAAACCTCAGTCTGTTAAACCATTTATTTTCACTAAAACAACTATATTTATTTAACATTTTAAAAAGGTCTTCCCTAAATTTCACCCCAACAAAAACATATATGAAAGGATTTAAACAACAGTGAAGAAAAGCAATGCTCTGTGTTACTTTATAGGCAATGTCTATGTTTCGAGAGGTTGTGCATGTTGAAATAAGAGCATTTGCAGCATCTGATACTCTAACTATAAGCATACTGTTGTAAGGAACTTGTGACAAAACAAATACTGCTAAGACAGCAAAAATTACTTTTAAGGCTTTGTGCTTTTGATAATTTCTTGCTTGTACAAGTGTTGGGATTATCATTGCATAACAGAATATCATAATCAGAAAAGGGATACAGAATGCCATTGTAACCTTTAAAGTTATAACCATTACCTTCAAAGCCTTGCCTAATTTTATAGGATAAGATATTGTACAGAATTTATGAAAAGATCCTTCCTTTATGTTGCTAAACAATATCTCTGGAAGACTTAAGACTGTTGCAAGGATCCAAACAGACAAACAGACAAATTTGCTGAAAATGATTCTCCTGTTCCGATACTTTTGTGCTTTAGCAGCTTGGACAATGGCTATGTATCTGTCAACACTAATGCAAGCAAGTAATAGCATTCCACTGTACACGTTAATTGTATAAATGCTATTAACAATTTTACAATGAACGGGTCCAAAAATCCAATTATGAGATGAAGCAATTGCCCAAAAGGGAAGGGTCATGAGAAAAAGTAGGTCAGCAATAGCTAGATTGATGAGGTAGGTGTCTGTCATTGTCTTTAATCTTCTGTAATTTATGTAAATGATTATAATCAAAACATTTCCAAGTAGCCCAAGAACAAACACACACCAATAAATTGGGGGAAGGACATATGCTGCAAATTCTCGTACACTACTTTTTTCACAGTATGAATCTGTGTCATCAAATGAGTAATCAGGTGTACTAGCAGAATAGAGGTCTTCTGTTAGGAACTGGGTTGCCTGAAAGTAGAATATAGTTTAATTAGCAGTGTACATAACTATTTTTTAAATTAAAACAATTGTGAATTAGGGTGTACAGTAGAAATTCTTAAAACCGTCTTTAAGAACCACACATGTTGTACATTAATAATATAATTCTACATAGACATAGGTGGCCCAATTAGCAGTCAGATAATAAGGAAGAGAACCCACTTCCATTTGTTCCTATTCTACTATTGTATTTAAAGATTACTATATTGTGTTTAAATATGGGAGAGATCTGTATATATATTTATTTATGTTTGGATAAAGATAGCCAACCACTATGGCCAGAGACTTAGTAAGTATAGCTTAATTATTAATCAATGTATAGAAAAAACCTTCACCATAAATTCCCAATGTAAATGGTAATAACAAAGTTATACTTATCTACTACATGAATGGACAGCCTCCCTTAGATCACTTCCCAGACAGCAATCTTATGATAACCAAAATATGTACACAGCAAATGGGATACAGCCGGTAAATCTAAAAGCAGATAAATATACAAAAATAGTGTTATACAGCTAAATAAAGCTATGTGTGCTAAAATTAGATGCACTCACAGGAATAAGGTATACAATGTGCTCAAGGAGTGCCTCCCCGATGGCAATGGGGCAATGTTGTTCCCTTTCTCGTTCGGGTTGATAATAGTAGCTTTTATCACAAATGAAATCAGGTTAAAATTGTACTTAAAATATGACGTTTCGTCCCCAACATGTTTCGTCCACAAAATCTGGACAAGTCACAAAGTGATGCTTTGGCGTTATCACTTTGTGACTTGTTCTAATTTTAGGGGAACCCTTTGAGCGCCTTTTATACCTTATTCCAAAGAGTGCATCTAATTTTAACTAACTGTATCACACTATGTTTTGTGTATTTTTCTGTTTTTTTATATTTACCAGCTGTATCCCATTTGTTATGTATATAGTTTAATTATTAATCAAGTAAGAGTATCGCCATGTGTAGTCTTTCACTCAATCCTCATCAATGACTAGGATGGAGGAAATCATATACATACACCAGATAAATCCCTCAGGGAATTGAGTCAGGCATTTAAAGTATTGGTTACATAATGTCAACAAGTATTAAAATGTAAAACTGTTAAACTTGTTGTCCTCTTTTTACGGACCTACACCACAAAACATACACCACCAATACAATAACTCGGCTTACTGTCCTCGACTACAAATAGAAAGGCTGAGTATGTAGGCGGAGCCTAAAACTGTTGGAGGGGTTACCCGGCTGCCTCTTCCACTGGGCAAATACTGCCTCGTTCAGTCCACCCACCGCTCCCTTTATCAAGTCATTCAATTTTGGTGGGCCTTTCTTTTACAGGACTACACAAACAGCAGTTTTGGCACACCACAACTGACTTAATCCACCACTTCTATAACTCAGCTTATTGTCCCCGACTACAAATATATATGTTGGAATATTCTTGAATATATTTCTCACTGTTTTAGTGTTTAAGATTCATATAAAAACAAATCTGAGATTATTGCATGGTTTAACTAAATTTTGTGGGCAGGGGGGCATTTTAAGTTGGCAGTACAATAGTGTACATAATTTGCGATTCCACTTTATTTGCACAATATACTATTTTGTAACTCTCTGAGTTAGCAGGGATCCTGACCTGTGTGTCAGCTATGTCCTCAACATTCTTTACCCTTACTGTCTGTACTAATTGTCAGACCCCTCAAAATATAAATAATTAGTTACACTGTGTACTTAATTAGTTAAACATTTCTCCCTAGTATATGGAGATTGGGTAATCAGCCATTCACAATAACAGCTTAATCAAGCTGAATTCACTCTCTCACGTTCTCTTCCTTGAGCTTTGTTCCACTGCTCATTGACACCAACACCGGTGTAGTGTTACTGACTGGCAGAGTAATAATAGGGTTATAATAGGGTTACTCCAAGCATCATACCCACAACAGTCTGCTGTAGTAGTTATGATGTGAGGCATACCATGAGGTATTTTCTCGGTTATGGGGCAATTCATTTTACAATGGTTTGCCTTCTTACCTGCTGGGCACTGAGCCTCCTTGATGGTGACCACTCTCAGCACTGAATTGGCATTAGCCATCCCTAAATGTTTGTGCCGCCTGGCAGTCAGCCTCTTTTAAACTACGCCCGGCAGTGCAGCGATTAAAGGAACACTATAGGGTCAGGTACACAAACATGTGTTCCTGACCCTATAGTGTTTAACCCACCATTTAGATGAAAAGGCAGTGGTTGCATGAAAATGCCTGCATATAATGATTATACTCACCAGAACAACTACATTAAGCTGTAGTTGTTCGGGTGACTATAGTGTCCCTTTAACTTATTGACGCAGATTGATCAGCTGATGCCCAAAGTCAATTAGCTAGCTCTGTACTATATTTCTTAGCTCAGGAGAGGCAGCATATGCTCTTAAACATGAGTGGTACCCAGCAGACTCCAGTTAAGTAGTCAACACAGCTTGACTACTTAAAATTGGGTGGATGCCAAAGCACTCCTGGCACCATAACTGATAAAGCCTGCTGTAATGCTTATGTTGTTTGGAGTGATCATTTAATGTATATTTAATAAAAATATTAAAAAAAATTGTGCAGAAATTCTACGCTATGTACAGTCAGGTCCATAAATATTGGGACATCGACACAATTCTAATCTTTTTGGCTCTATACACCACCACAATGGATTTGAAATGAAATGAACAGGATGTGCTTTAACTGCAGACTTTAAGCTTTAATTTGAGGGTATTTACATCCAAATCAGGTGAACGGTGTAGGAATTACAACAGTTTGTATATGTGCCTCCCACTTTTCAAGGGACCAAAAGTAATGGTGAATGGTGAAACCCAGCGTCTGGCAATGTCTATGCGTTCCAGACTTCAGGCTGTAATTGACTGCAAAGGATTTGCAACCATGTATTAAAAAGTGAAAGTTTGATTTATGACTGTTAATCTGTCCCATTACTTTTGGTCCCTTAAAAAGTGGGAGGCACATATACAAACTGTTGTAATTTCTACACCGTTCACCTGATTTGGATGTAAATACCTTCAAATTAAAGCTGAAAGTCTGCAGTTAGAGCCAGGGCCGGACTGGGAATTAAAAGCAGCCCTGGAAAAAATATTATTTACCAGCCCCATAATGCGTCACACCAGCATAGTGTGCTGATACAGAGTTAGAACAGATAACTTAACATTAAAATGTACTTCAATGTAAAAAGCGCACTCATAGGCTTCAAAATAAACAAAAGTGCAGATTTATTTTAAGCAGACGTGCCTTTGCATGTAATCAATGTTTCAGTCCAACTACCTTGACATATTAAGGAAAGCTTCTTATTGGGACTGAAATGGTGAATGTATGTAGGGCACAACTGTAAAAAAATGTTTATTTTGAAGTCCTGTGGGTGTGCTCTTCACTTTAAATATGTTATTGTGCTTGAGTATGCACCTAGCAACAAGATTGGGCCAATATCTGCTCATTACATATGGTACATATTAATGAAATTTCTCTGTGTATTATGCACATATAAATGTACATTAATATGTGTAAATATAATAGGTATATATACATACACACATTAATATACATGTCATATACCAGTGGCGGATCCAGAGCCTGAGCCCGGGAGGGGAACTTGTAGATTATTTAAAGAAGTATTCCATGCACAATAACCACTACTCCTCTGTGTAGTGGTTATGGTGCCAGGAGCTTCGGCACCCCCTCCCAGAGTATGTAGTCAAACCGTTTAAGAACAGTTTGACAATTTACCTGGAGTCTGCTGGGATATGGGGCTGTAGTAGGGTATAGGAGCAGTGGTGCAATGTGTGTGAAAGGTTCAGTGTGTGGGTGGGCAGTGTGTGAATGTGTATGGTGTGTGTGTGTGTGGGGGGCAGTGTGTGAATGTGTATGGTGTGTGTGTGTGTGTGGGGGGGGGGCAGTGTGTGTATGGGGCTAGAGTTCACTCCTACTACTGCGACCACCAGGAAGTGGTGAGAGTGAACTCTAGCCCGTAGCTCCAGGGCTAGAGTTCACCCTTGTGAGAGCCGGAGCGTTGCCCCGGGTCCTCTCTTCCTCCCCTGCCTGCACGGTGCCTGTGGAACGGGGAGGGAGGTCGGCCGGCAGGGGAAATTGCCCCGTTGCCCCCCCCCATCCACCAGTGATATATACTGCCCCTATGTGTGTCTCTATCTCCAGCCCCTCTGTGTGCCTTTTTGTCTCCCCCAATCACTCTGTATGTTTCTTTCTCCCCCTCACTGCTCCTCTGTGTCAATGTCTCCCCTCTCCTTCCCCGTCTCTCTCTTCCCCCTCTGCCTC